ATGATCGGCAAGTAAATTGCCCAGTGAGGAATGGGATTTTCACATGAAACATCACACTCCGCTAGATACAGTGGGATCCTTTCACATTGTCAGCACAGCATGATACAGCAGGAACATGACAGCAGCAAGCAGGAGAAAGCACAGCAGAAGCAAGGGACATTCTGGAGATAGGTGTGTCCCCCCCCCACCCCCAGGGGCTTTGCCTTTCCAGGGTGCACGCATCATAGCTTTGCTATCTGGTGGGTTGTATTCCATAAGCTCCATTGCTGACTGCGGCTCCTCTGACATGGCCCCAACAATCTGCAGCCTGAAGCTTGCCTGAGAGGTGGGCTCAAAGGCCTGAGAGCTGGAAAGCCAACAGTGTGCATTCTAGTCTCTGCTTCAAGGCCCAATAACTAGGAGCTCTTAGTGCAGAGGCAGATTGATGGCTCAGTTCAAAAGCAGTCGAGCTTTTGATGGTGGGACTTGTAAAGCACAGAGAGACAAAACAAAATAATCCACAACCAAGAAATATCAGGTTACCTTAGGTTACCCTTTCTTGTGACAGGATTCAGGCAGAGGAATCTTCATTACAAGGCCAACTGAAATGGCCTGTTTGGGATTTTGCTGTTAAAATTTCACTAATTTTTCTCTAAGATGAATCTCTGAGATTTCTCTAATCTCTGTTTCTCAGAAAATCATAGAAACAGTGTAGTTTCCCCTTGGGAAAATGGAAGTCTAGTGTGACTCCATCTTGATTTTCTTTTTCTGAAACAGGGTCTCCCTATGTATCATACCTGGCTGACTTGGAACTTCCTGTGTAGACCAGGCTGGCCTTGAAACTCACAGAGAGCTGCCTGCCTCTGTCTCCTGAGTGCTGGGATTGAGGAGCCACCACACCTAGCTTCTCTATCTTGATTTTTATGTTGGTCTATTGGGACCTAATGCAGGAACTTAATCTAAAACAGTAGTTTTCTAATTCCATACAAACTAGGTGTTGGGGTGTTGTGTCTATAATACCAGCACTTGGTAGGTGGCCACCCTCAGTTATATAGCAGTTCAAGGCCAGCCTCAGCTACTTAAGATCCTTTCTCAAAACAAAACAAAAAGACAGTCAGAAGAAAGCGAAGTTAACCCTCTACTTTTTTGTTGTATTCAGGCTCTCTGTAGTGGCTGACACCCTCATAAAAGAAAACCATCTGCTTTACTCCGCCCCCCAATTCAAATCCTAACCTCTTCTGGGAAACACCCTCACAGACACACTTAACCAGCTATCTGCACACCCCCAGTCTGATTGATAGAGAAAATTAGCCTTTGCAAGAAGAAAGTTATAAGTTCAAAAATGTGTCCAACTACATTTGAGGATTTACTTTATGATGAAGGTGGCATTGTTAATCCTACCGATTGAGAATAAGACCACTACTGCAGTTTAAAGCCAAATTGGAAGCAAGCTTTAATTAAATCCTGGCCAGGTAGACGGAATCTGGCCAGGTCCATACCCAGGTTCCTGGGATATGGCCCAGAATCAAGTATGGCAAGGACTTAAGAAGGAAAACCCATAATTCATTGCATTTCCCATCAGGTTCAATCCGGGCAAGCATATATCCTGACATATTTCCTGCTTACATACCTCCTGCCCACATGTGATCAAGCACATCTGGTGCAGATGGGCCAAACAAAGTTGTTTAGGGGAGTGAAAACATGGGGCTTGTTATCTCCCATAAACAATGGCCTCCAGCATTTCAGGAGCTGTCTGTCCTTGGGCAAGGGGCTTGCAGATCAGAGGCATCTTTGCTTCATGGATCTCTAAGGCGTAGTAATTCAAACTTCAAATGTAACTTTGGCTCTCACAGTATCTCAACTCAGGGAGGAAAAAGGACAGGACATTCTATCAAATATGTGGTAAGGGTGATGTTTGGTGGTAAAAGGGGAGTTGGATTTAGCATTCAAACTTTATACAGGGACATATTCTCCATATAGTAAATGTAAAAAAATAGTATAATTGGAGTTGGGGATACAACTCAGTGATAAACTGCTTACCCAGCATATGTGAGGCCCCATATCTAGCCCTCAGTACTGCAAAAACAGGAAAGCATCATAAAAATTCATCATAGAGAATGCCTTTCAGAGCGCAAGGTGAATGGAGCTCTTTTAACTACAAAAGAAAACCAGAGGTCTGAAGGAACACAGGCAGTTAAACTTGTGTTAGACTATACTTAAACATTTCTTTATGATGAAACTTACAAACGTAAGACAAAGTCCAGGGCTGGACTGCTTATAAGCCTGGCCTTTGGGACCTACACATTCAGTCTGTTATACTACTATCCTTCATATTTAAAAACTGATAGAACTCTGGAAAGAAAACTGGAGGGTCAGTGGCCCATGTAAGGAATTTTCAATAAAATTTTAACATAGTACCCTAGTTTGCTTTCTGGTTTTGTTTGTTTGTTTTTGGTTTTTTTGATAAACACCACGACCGAAAGCAACTTGGGGAGGGAAGGATTTATTTCATTTTTAGAACGTAGAGTCCCTCATTAAGAGAAGCCAGGGCAGGAGCTCAAGCAGGAACCAGAGAAATTGAAACAGGCCATGGAGGACCACTGCTTCCTGGCTGTGCTTCCTGGCTGGCTCTCCGTGGCTTGCTCAGCCTGGTAAGGTGCCAATCCTCCTGTAAGTGACCCTACTGAAACTCATCGGGTCATATAATGTTTTTAAAGACATGAAAGTCATTGGGAAGAGGGAAAATGTTAGATTTTGGAGCACAGAGTAAAGAGACAGAAGGCAGGAAGTAGACCAGAGTCTGACCTCAATAGAGGAGACTGTTTATTTCAAATAGCAAAAGACAGACACTCTCCATGGGTAGAGGGTCTGTGTAGGGGAAAAGCTAGCTAGGATCCTTTATGGAGATTGGGGGGGCGGAGCTTGGGAATGAGGAAGTTCATGCAGCTTCAGGAGGCTATGTGGGGGTGTGCAAATTCTCCTTCCTGAATTTGTTTGCCCAAGCCAGACAGATTATTTTGGGAGATAGCCTGTCCAGCGAACATTCTTCTCTGGGTTGTGGCCAACTGATAAGGATGAGCAGGGTCATCTGTAATTTCATGGAAATCCTGTTTTTATATCCCGGCCCTCTGTCATCTCAGACCCTGAAGCACAGAAAGAAGTGAGGGACAGGAACATCAATTCTTTCTTAACTCGTTTGTGCTGGTGGGGTGATCATTGTAAGGAAGAGATATAAAAGTTTTTTTTGGGGGGGTTGTTTTGTTTTTCCCAAGGTCTTTTGATTTTAGAGGTATCTTGATTTCTCAAGATTACATGGCTTTTTGGGATCATCTGGTTCCAGGACTCCGAGAGGTTGGGAGTCCTCAGTCAAGAGGAGTTGAGTGATAGTTGAGGAGGTAAGGGCTTGAACTCTTTGCTGCAACAGATTAGAGAGGAATTTTAAAACATAAAGACTGAAAATTAGAGCTAGAACTATCATAATAAGGGGCCTAATAAAGGGGGTCCTCCATGTACCCCAAGTGCTCCCAAAACCTGTCCAGCCTGATGGGGGCTCTCTGGCTTGGGATTCTATTCTTTCTTTTAACTGTCTGGAATTCTCCTTTATGACAGCTGATAAATTCATGTAGAAACAATATCCCTCCACTAACATAGTATAGATCCCTCCCTTCTACCATGAGATCTAATCCCCATCTATTTTGTAATACCATGGCTGCCAGGGAGACCAACTGAGTCTAGAGTTTTTGTTTTCTTCATCTGTTTGTTTGTTTGTTTCTTTTAAGACTTGCTGGACAGTGATGGCACATGCCTTAGAAGACAGAGAGTATTCCAGGACAGCCAAGGCTACACAGAGAAACGCTGCCTCAAAAAAAAAAACCCAATATTAATTTATTTGTTTGTTTATTTATTTATTTAATGTATTTTGTCTTCATGTATGTCTGCACACCAGAAGAGGGCATCAGACCCCATGAGACTACAGTTATAGACAGTTGTGAGCTGCCATGTGGGTGCTGGGAATTGAACTCAGGACCTCCGGAAGAGCAGCCAGTGCTTTTAACCATCTTCAACCCCCAAGTCTAGTTTTTGATGATGTCCTATACCCATGTCAGCTCAGCCTTGATTTGTTGAGTGAGTTGGTTATGTTGGACTTGTTGGAGTTCAAAGGCCCTTGCTTCCAGGCTCCCAGCCCCTGCCATAGTTACAATGTCATTTCTTTTGGATTGGATAGGGGTGGGCTGGTGGTTTGTTTTAAAAAGAATCAGTTGGAGTGGAAGTGAATGGGAATGGGGGTGGGGAGTAGCAGCAAATAGGATGGAAATATATGCATGTTAGAAAATTTCATAACGAAACCCATTATTAGGTATAATTATATATGCTAATAAAGCATTTAAAATGTTATCTGTCATTTATAATCCTAATCACTGGTTATTTTAGCACTCGGTATTATTAATTATTTGGGTAAATCCTTCTGATCTTTTATCTTTATAATATGCATAATTTTGTGACAAGATGGAATCATTTTGTACATGCCATTTTTCTAGGCTTTTCTCTCCATTTGATGTTCCTCAGAATCAAAGAGATGGTGGAAGTCACCTTTGGCAAACAGATAATATGTGGGGAGCAGGGCCTCTGTCCCTAATCTTCACATCCCAAAAGCTTGACTGGTTTCACCAATTTCTTCTGCTGTCACACAACCATGCCAACAGCATGGCATTGAACCCCTTGTCAAGGTGTGAAGACATCTCACCAAAATATAAGTTCTCTTTCTTAATACAGTTAGAGATGAAGTGTTGTAGAACTGTGTAAGTGGAAGCAAGCCAGGTGTGGTGGTGCATGTCTGTAATCACAGCATTTAGGAGACAGAAACAGGTGGGTCTCTGGGAGTTCAAAGTCAACCTAGTCTACATAATGAATTCTAAGGGTTACATAGTGAGACCCTGTCTCAAAACAAACAAAATAAAAGTAATTTAGCCATGGACTAAAGATTGTTTTTGATTGATATTCTTAATGTTTTTGGTTTCTAGCTTGAGCAGTTTCGGACCCTGCTTGTCACTTCTGAGGGGGAGAAAGAGAAAAGAATGGTGGACAACTTCCGCCCACTTCAGCCACTGATGAACCGTACTGTCCGCTCATCCTTCCGCCATGATTATGTGCTCAATATTCAAGCGAAACCCAAGCCAGCAGCCAGCCAAGTCACCCCCTAAGATGTTCATACTTAGGCAGCATCTTTCTTTAATGAATATTAGCTTAAAAATCTTAACTAGATTATTTTAAAATGCTGCACTTAATACTTACATTTATGTTTTTTTTCCTTCCTTTGTTGTAACAACATTTCAAAACTCCTATCCTTGTAAAGCAAAGACAGGAAGACAAAACAATAAAAACAAAAACCCAAACCAAATAATATCAGGTTACCTTAGGTTACCTTTTTTTTGTGACAGGATTAAGGCAGAGGAATCTTCGTTACAAGGCCAGTTGAAATGGCCTGTTTGGGATTTTGATGTTAAATTTGTCTAATTTCTGTTTCTCAGAAACTCAGATAGACAGTTTAGTTTCTACTTGGTAAAATGGAAGTTTAATGTGAGTGACCCATCTTGATTTTTCTGTTCAGGCCTAACACAGGAGGTTAACCCACAGCAAGAGGTTCTTGTGAATTTTATTTAATGACGCCACCCTTTTGTTCAAACTGTTAAATGGTCTCATCTTACAGTATTGGTCCCACTCTTAGCTACCATCATTTGGAGCTGCTGATCTCAAAATAACATTCCAAGGTTACAAATGCATTTATTGGTTTCAGAGTATTTCATCTGTCTTTTTTTTTTTAAGATAAGTTTTCTCTGTGTACTTCAGGCTGTCCCTGAACTCACTATGTAGTCCAATCTAGCCTTGAACACATAAAGATCAGCCTGCCTTTGCTCCCAAGTGCTGAGATTAAAGGCATGTACCATAGTGCCTGGCTTTCATTTGTCTTACCAAATACATTTGCTCTTTGAATGATAATAGTATGTGTCATTGGAATACCAGCATGACATGCAAGTTGCTCTTATAGCAACCTGTTGGGAATTATGATGTATTTTTATATCTGACATTGTGTGTGTGTGTGTGTTGTGTTGTATTTTGAGTCAGGATCTCACTCTGTAGTCAAGGCTAGCCTGGAACTCACAGTAATCCTCTTGTCTCAGTCTCTCAAGTGCTAGGATTATAGGTATAAGGTACCACACTCAACTATTATATTTGACACATTTGGCTATCATTTTTATTTTTTGAAACAAGGTATCATGTAACCCAGGGTAGACTAGAATTTGCTATATAGCCAAAGCTGGTCTTAAACTTCTGATTTTCCTACCTCCACCTCCTGATTTCTAGGATTATAAGTGTGTGCCACTGCACTCAGCTTTAGTTGTCTTTTAATGTTTATAGTTCTGTCGAATTTTGAGTAGGGATTATAGTCAAAACGTTAACACCTACCGAAGGCATAGACACTGACCACACAAAACCCAGGCTACTTAGAAAACATCTCTACAGGCCCAGACTGGTAACTCCTACCTGAATATTGGCCATAGTTTTAGGTATATTTTCTTTCAAAAGTTGGGTGTGAATTTTTATATTGACTTCTCAATGAGTATGTTTGTACTAATCTTTAGTTGCTATTACTAGCATATGATATGTCTACTTATTATCAGTTTACTATATAGAAAACACCTTTTGTAATAATGGGCTAAAGACACTTGCCATGAAACTCTGATGACCTGAGTTTGGCCCCCAGAACCTACTTAAAGGTAAAAGAAAAAAACTAACCCCACGAAGTTGTTGTCTGACCAAGCATGCTCCGTGGCATACACACAACCCCGTACACATCAAAGATGCACACAATAATAAGTAAAACTTTAAAAGACTAAAAATATATATTTTGTAATCACCAGAAAACAAGGACTTTTATTATATCTAGAATTTATTTTGCATTTTTGAAGGTCAGGTATTTTACCTATAGGCTTGGGATTATATAGAAAGATGTCTTAGGGTTTCTGTTGCTGTGATGAAACACCATAACCAAAAAGCAAGTTGGGGAGGAAAGGGTTTATTTGGTTTAAATTTCCACAATACTGTTCATCCTTGAAGGAAGTCAAGACGGGAACTCAAACAGAGCAGAATCCTGGAGTCAGGAGCTGATGCAGAGGCCATGGAGGGGTGCTGCTTACTGGCTTGCTTCCATGGCTTTGCTCATTTGCTTTCTTATAGATCCCCTGACCACCAGCCCAGGGATAGCACCACCCACCATGGGCTGGGACCTCCTCCATCAATCACTAATTAAGAAAACACCTTATAGCTGGATCTTCTGGAAGCATTTTCTCAATTGAGGTTCCCTCTTTTCAGATGACTCTAGCTTGTGTCAGGTTGACATAAAACTAGCCAGGACAAAGCATATTCAGAATGTCCTAATGATTGAAATGCTAGAATACAGAATTCTTTCATGCTAAATTTACAGAAATATGTTTCAAAGGACTAATCGTCTAGTAGTCTATCATTTGTAGTATTAGTGTACATTGTTTGTACACTGTTACATAGTATATATTTCCAACAATAATTGAGCTCTCTTACATTCTCATTAACATGTTCTTTTTTAATTTTAAAATTATTTTTCTTTTATGTGTATGCGGATTTTGTCTGCATGTATGTCTGTGCACTACATGCATGCCAGGTGCCCAAGAAGGCCAGAAGAGGGTGTTGGATCTCTTGGAATTGGAGTTACAGATGGTTATCAGCCATCTTGTGGGGTCCTCTGCAAGAGTATCAAGTGCTCTAAACGTCTGAGTCATCTCTCCTGCCTCCTTTCGCATTTCATAAAATCTATTTTATTTACCCATTAGCCAAGTTATGTGTGTGTGAGTGTGTGGGTGTGTGGGTGTGTGAGTGGGCACTGCCAAGGTTCTTTATAAGGGCAGGTGCCTGATTTAAACCTCCTGATTTATACAGTGGTTTAGAGTTCTTTTGTTATAGTAACACGGAGAGAAATTTGTCAGTCTGAAATCTAAATGATTCTATATATTCTGAAGAATCCACAACACTGTTGCTCTTACTTGTAAATATCTTACAATGTTTCTGGTTGTCTCCAAGCTTGTGTTTCAAATATGGGAAGTATTTTATTTAGTCTGCAAAACAAGATGGAAATAACATAAACTTATAACTTCTGCTCATCACAGAAAACAATCAACAAAGTGAAAATGCAAAGTATAAAGTGGGAAAAGATAATTGCAAATCACATTTATGATAAGGGATTAATATCCATAATGCATTAAAGAATTTCAGTAACTCAGGGGGAAAACCCAACAGCCCAATTTTAAAATGAGCAAAGGACTTGAACAGACAATTCTCTGAAGCAGGTACACAGAGGGCCAGTAAACACACAAAAAGCTACTCAACAACACTAAGTATTAGGAGAATGCAGATCAAAACAAAAATGAGCTATCACAGCATGCCTATCATGATAGCCACTATCAGATGAGAACAAAATACCAAGTGTTGTGAGGATATAGAGAAGTGTCATGGTATATCCACTAAAACCAGAATTACCATATGATCCAGAAATCCCACCTCTGGGTAGATAAGCAGAAGATTTCAAAGCAGGATCTCAGAGAGATAATTGCACATGCTTTCTAATAGCATTATTTCCAATATCCAAGAGGTCGAAGCAACCTAAATGTCCATGGACAAGTAAATTGATAAAGGGAATGTGGTACGGTGGAATGTTAGCTTTGAAGAAGAAAACTCAGCTGCATGCACAATATGGATTATTCTTGAAGGTATTATGCTAAGTGAAATAAGTCAGTTCCAAAAGGACACATACTATATGATTCCACTGGTATAATGGGTCTAAAGTAATTAAAATCATGGAAATAGAAATTAGACAGATGATTGCCAAGGGTGGGGGAGGGGGGGAGAATCATGTTTAGTGGTATAATGGTTAATCTTGTCAACTTGATTTGATTCAGAAGCCCAGAGGAGTTTATACTGAGTACCAATGGGTGTTTTTCTGAGGGAATTTCCAGAGAGGACTAGATCATGAGAGATCAAATATGATCAATAGTTCAGTCCAATGATGGATTTAGACTTTGAATAGATTACTGGGAGGTGGTAGAACTGCAGAAGGTGTGGCCTGGCAGGAGGAAGTAGATCATTGAGAGTGAGTCTTTGAGGGCCTTTGTTGTGTCATGGTTGAGTTCTGATACTGCTCTGTTTCCTAGTTCCTGAAGGGAATAGTTTTACTCCACCAAGCTCTTCTACAATGATGTACCACTTCATTCCAGGTCCAGAAACATGGAACCACCATGGACTAAAACCTATTAGACTCCAGACCAGACTGTTGCTCAGGCCACAATACCTGTAATAGTCCCTCTTGTCTTCCCAACCCCTAGATACTGATCGCAACCTATTGAGACCAATTCTGTGACTATCTAGCTAACGGACTCCCAGGTGTCTGATTTCTCACTTGAGGAGTTTGCAGGCCCAGATACATCAAATAATGGCACATACACAAATGGCACATACCACCCTCCTCATCCCCTTTCCTGCCATCTACTGGGGGATCAGAAAGTCTGGCTGAAGGCTCATGCGGTAAACCTTTCCTTCTTCCTCAGAGAACTGTAAGAAGGAACCCCCACTCCAGCGTCCTCTCTAGGAACTGATTTCAGAGTCCCCATTATGCTGCAAACTATTTGTAGTGTTGGGGCCTGAAATCCCAAGTCCCTGACATGCAGCTATGTGTCTGACTGTCCATGGAATTAATAACTTTGAATACATTTCTTAGCCTCAACAATCTGTCTTAGTGCCCTCCTTAACTCCTATACTCAAGATTTTTAAAAACTTAAGTCAAAATAAATACTTCATTCTTTAAATTGTTCCTCTTCTTTCAACTATTTGTTATAGTAGCAAAAAGTCTAACACAAATGGTTAGAGTGTTAGTGTTGCAGGATGAAAAAGTTCTAGAAACAAGATGAATGTGAATGTATTTAGCATTATTAAATTATATACTTACAAAGACTTAGGATGGTAAATACTAAAAGTGGTTAATATGGCAAATTTTATGTGCATTTCACCATGGAAGTAAAAAAATAAATTCAGTTTTAAAGAAAGATAAAGTTTGGAGGTATACATGCAAATCTTGGGGATATCTCTTCAGTAAACAGGAGGTAGAAGCAGACTTTTGCTCATGTGTCTTAAGACCTGCAAAAGATGTTAGAGTGATTAAAAGGGGGTGTGGTGGTTAGTTCCAATGGTCAGCTTGATACAACTTAAATCACCTGGGAAGACTCCTAATGAGGAATTATGTAGAGCATATTAGCCTGTGTACATGTCTGTGGAGGGTTGTCTTGTTACTTGATGTGGGAAAATCTAGCCCACTGTGGGTAGCACCATTCCCTAGGCAAGGGGTCCTGGATTGTATAAATGTAGAGAGCAAGCTGAACTTAAGAAGTATGCATGCATTCTCTCTGCTCTTGACTGTGGTAGTGATGTGACTAGCTCTTTCAAGTTCCTGTCACCTTGACTTCCCCACAATGATGGACTGTAACCTGGAATTGTGAACTAAAATATACCCTTTCTCCTCTAAGTTATTTCTGCCAGGGTATTTTATTACAGCACAGACATGAAACTAAAACATGAGATAAGGTACAGGGAGATGGCTCAGTTGGTAAAAGTGTATAAGCCTAACATGAGTTCTGATCCCAAGAACTCACATTAACACACACACACACACACACACACACACACACACACACACACACACACACACCAGATGCAATAGTGTGCATCTGTAATCCCAGCACTCCTACTGGAAGATGGAAGGTAGAAACAGGAGAGTTTCCCCAAAGCTCACAGACCAGCGAACCGACTCCTAACAGTTGTCCTCTAACCTCTACATGCAAGCTGTGCCACACATACCTGCACTCATA